GTTCGGCAGTCCTATAATTTCCAATCATGCTTTCTTTCTTTTTTCATTTGTAGGTAAACTTTAAAAATAATAATAGTGTAATTGTAAAAAACCTCGTAGTGAATTGTTTTAATAACAGAATATCGATACTATGTCTGCTTTCTAGAACAACACTATCTCAAAATAATCGTTATCAACAATCATCAAAATATTCTAACAAACAAGCAATCTAAAGTAACCAAAGCAAAATTCGGCAAGACTTATGAATAAACTACTTAAATGAGTCTAATTACATGAGATATTTGGGCTATGATTTATAGGCAGAAAAATAACACATGCAACAATGTAACATTCGGTTTATTTCCGATTTTCTACTGTCGCACCCCTTAATGCTGTAGCGACGCATTTTAATCAATACTTAATTGTTCTCACTGTCAATATTTTTGTCCATTTCATTACAATTCATGCGAATAATTCAATAAACCATTTTTGCTAAATATTGGTTTTGACATTTCATGTACTTCCCTTTGACAACCGGAAACGGTTATCAAAGGGTACTCCAAAAATGGTAAAATGAGGACAATTGGCATTTAAGATGACGTTACGTATTTTCGATTCCTGTGTTTGACATAAATCAATGAAGTGCTATCTCTTTTGGCTTACGACGGTACGCAGTAGTTAAACAAAGACAATAAAATGTTTATGTTTTCAACGTCTAAATGCATTATATACATATAATGTCTGATTTATATATGTCAATATAACATGTCCTTTTTGGTTTCCATAGTCTAAGGTTGTGTGACATGCGTGAGAAAAGTATTTGCCGCCATTTCGCCAGTCGTAACCTTGTAACATGCGGTTCCAGAACACAGAGAGCTTATAATATATGTGTGTAGATAAAGCAGTGTATGTAACTGTACATAACTCATTACATATCAACTCATTTACGTAATTCATTACGTAACAGTCACAAAAACTACTATTTTTTATGAAAAATAGCGACATACATAACATTAACACGAGGAATAAAAATAAACTAGCTGTTCTTGACAGTCGTCTTCATAAAGTCTCAAATTTATTTGGGGGACAATGTTTAAGGCTTAGAATAATAACGCATAGAAACCTAGCCCGCACACGCTAAGTGAGGCAAATTGAAGCGCGCCAAAAGGGCATACACGAGCGGGCGGGCCTTCAGTGTTCAAGGTCAACTTGCACCGCGAACAGCTCCAGAATTTTAGCTAATAATGACGAAATGTACGCTAAATGAGTGTAAAAATACGTCAGACAAACATAAAATAGCTACTAACATCACATTCCACAAGGAAGTAACGCGTTTCAATTTGTATTTTTATATAAATATTCACTAAAACCGAAAATTAACCTACTACTAAAACTAGCCTACATGAATTTGATTTTTGCCTCACTTGTGACAGTTCGTTTGATATGAAACTATCATTCTATGCGTTATTATTCTAAAGTTTAAGGCTTCTATAATAAGATTCCGATTGATATTCAAAATTTGTCATTTACGAAGCTTAAAACTATAATGAAACAAAAACTTTATACTATAGGTTCTCTTGCAGGTAATCTCGATCTAAGATGTTTAAATTATATATTGTAATGATAAATGTATTCAAATGTATATTTATAAAGAGCATCCCCTAGAGTTTTTAGCTCATTCTTCTCAGGGGAATCTGCCTTATGAATGAGCAGTAATTTGCTTACCTATGAAATGAAAATTATTTAATAGATTTCTCATAGATGGAGCCATACGCCAAAAAAGTCGTTAAAAAACTAAAAATAAAGATCTGCAACAAACGTATGGAACAACTCGTGAGGTCCGTTGCTTCGTTCCGTGGCTTAATGGGCATAGTGTCTGTCGCGGTTTGCTGGGAGACGTTCGTATGAATCCAACCGGATCGAAGTGAATTTATAGGAGTAATTTCACATAAAATTATTGAATAACATGGTGGTGAAAAACGTTGACATTCAATAAAACTTAATTGTAACACATCACCTTTCGCTTGCGTACTTAAATACGGTATTTAGTAACAGTAAAGCTTCTTGTAAAGAATTCGTCCAGAGAAGTCCTGCCTTACCTATTTCTGCCTCCAAGCAGTAATGTCAGGTTTTGAAGGGTAAGGTTGCTGGTGAAGTTACAGGCACATGTGACTTGTCAACTAACATCTCAGGCGACGGGTGCAGTGACAGTGCCCCTCAGATCTTTGTGATTTAAAGCTCTAAGTGGCACTGCAACTGCTATGGACAGACTTGTCGCTTACCTTCAGGGGCACGAATTGTTCGTCCCGTCATTTGGTGTCATAAAAAAAGAGTAGCTATTTATCCAACTCTCCTAATTAAAATATCATGGCATTTAACATTTCTTGAAACTTTTTCAGGAGTAGCTTTAACAGATTCTCCATCCGGTTTAGCAGCCTACATGATGGAGAAGATAGCAATCTGTAGCAATAGGAACCAACTGGACACCCCACACGGCGGCCTTGATAACCTTAATCTGGACGATGTGTTGGACACAGTCACTATTACGTGGGCAAATAATTGTATTGTCACATCTATGAGATTATATGCTGAAAATTTGCCCGAAGTCAGGATTTTACATAAGTAAGGATTAGTTTCCTAATTAATTATCCTGAAAACTTCATCTTGTAACCTACATGCTGATGTTGTATGTGAAAGCTCTAACTGCGCTGGTTCGTCACTGTGGAATATGTCGTATGGTATTACGCAACCCAACGTACCTATATGTAAACTTCTTCTTCTTGTCGTATCGATGGCATACACTATAATGCTTGAGGCGCACGAAAGGAGCCTCCCCGCATAACGTACTTTTCTGTACGTCTGGCGCACTGCATTAATTTAACACGTTCATTGCCGGTTAGAATTTTCAAAAGTGTTCAAAAAAAAACTTTATCTTATATAAATGCTTTTGGTCTCATTTGAATATTGAGTTTAAGAATATAAGATTTTATTTTGAGATTATATTTAAACAACGACGTAGGTACGAAAGTACGTACGCACAATGTTCGATCGATGTTACCCTAAAACTGACATAGTTACTATGTCTCTCATTTTAGATTGACACTACGCATTAACCAAAGTTTTGCTTGTTTTGTAACTTTTCAATTCAATTTGGAATTGAAAGTGCATTTTTTTTTATTCAAAGTATACTTTTTTTCCCTTGAAGTCTAGAAAAGTAGGTATGTCGTCAAAAATCCTTAAAACCTGACCGCGCCGGTCATGTCGTAGAGCTAAATACTTAGCATTTGCCACAGGTGGCGTGAACGAGCATCGCAAACTTAGGTATATGTCGTGCTGGTCATTTTGTTACGTGTTAACTAATCAATAAAGATAAAGATAAATTTATTTAAGTATAACTTAATCTAATACAATGCAAGTAACACAAATGTGAATAAAGCTATTATAAGAAGGGCACCTTAATTATAAATTTTTCGTAATGAAGCTATAAATTTTAATATTAGAAATTTTAATGTGTGTGTAATTGCGATGCCTAAACTAAGTAAATATGTACCCTGTATTTTAGGCATCTTTTTGGGCAAATTTCTTTATATTACATTTTAAAAAGATATTAACTATATTTAATAATACAAAATAATTAGTAGTTATAAATGAATGGTTAATATAATAATATAAAATAATTATGAAACAACTTCCAGCACGCCAGCATTGTAAGTATGACACGATAAAAAAAGAAAAAGTGATCTTCAATGTTCTATAGGCTACAATATTCCCATTTCTGAATTCCAGCATACCAACTCGCGTACCAACAGCAGCGCTCAAATTCCTCCACGAAGTCTTATACCAGCCCGACTGGATATTAAGAGATAAGTTCCCCAACCTCGTGCGGTCGACAGCGTATGATTTCGGTGGCCACTTCGCCGCCTTACATACGCCGCAGGTGTTCGCTGAAGACATCTTTGATGCTACCGTTGCGTTTTTGGAATTCCACAACGCGAAGAAATAGATATAATACACGGTGTTCATTTAATCGCTATCAAAATTGTTTAGGTGACGTTACATAAATTTGATCGCTAATTTTATTTAAATTCAAATTAAAGTATTTTGATTTCACAGTGGGACCTTAGAGGGATGCCACACGGGTGTTTCGTCGTCGCAACGCTATGATTTCAAAGCATCGGTTGCACCACGAGCTATGTGGCGTAGTAACGTAATGCCGCTTACTTTAGCACCGCAGCATCCCTACCCGCTCCGTCTCCTGACCCCTTGTACGATGCAACAACGCACCACGTGGCATATATAGTTTTAATTTATTGGTTGTACAACGCGGCGTCAACGCTCAAGTGCCGCTATGCCGACGCAACGCATCGTATGGCATCACTCTTGCCTGTTCCGTCGTTACGTATAGGAGGCAGAAATTGTTTTTACCACTTAAAATGTTATCAGAACGTTAGTTATAACGATCACGTATGTTTTAAGTTGTTGAGGTAAGGACACCCTGTATGATTTGTCCCAGTGCAATGACAAGTGGTACACATAAGTTAAACTAAGTAGGTAAGATCTTGGTACCTATGCAAGATACACTGTAAGATAGTAAATAAACGGTTTTGTAATTTTCTTTCATTGGCCTTATTATTTTAATTCATGGTCAGATAAAAATATTGAAATATTTTTGGAAGGCTTTTCCTTTCCGGATGAAACAGAGCCTTCAAAGCTTTATGGACATGGAATGCGAGCGCAGGGCACTATCGGTGAGGGCGAACATGCTGGCTCGCAGGTTTGCTTTATTTACGGCAGAGGTGAAGGTCTCTCTTTTTAGAGCCTATTTATTGCACACTACTGCACGCGGGTGCCATGTGAGCCAGCTATACCCAAAGCTCGCAAAGAGCCCTGCGTACGCAATATAATAAATGCTTCAGGACGGTGCTGCGGCTGCCACGGTTATGCAGCGCGTCTGTCATGATTACGAAGCTTGCGTTGACAGCTAGCTTCATGACACTGGCGGAAGAAGTCGCCATCTTTTTAAACACAATACGTGGCAGCAGCAACGGCCCTCTGAAGACTATCACGGCTAGGTGAGTGTTCCCATGATGCGGCATTTAATAACAACCACAAAATCTGTAGTAGAATTTACGTACTAACCTAATTATATTAATTATAATTTAACTGTCTCCGTGGCCGAATGGTTACCATACCGGAATGTCACGCAGGAGTCCCAGGTTCGATTCCCGGGCCGGGAGAAATATTTGTATGACCTACATTTATTTCTCTCGTGAGTTTGGGTGTAATTTGTGATTGTCTATATGTGTCCATGGCACCCGCGACACAGGGTTTCCCTAGTGCATGGCTATGATGAGTGTGTGCGTTATTATTATTATTATAAATTTAAGCGATAGTCTATCGTGTTTGACGGAGTAAAATCACATTTATAGGGTTGCCAGTTTTCATAAAATTTTAAATAGTTATGTACACACATCAAAAGTGTCTAGGGATCAAGTGAATATTTTTGAAATAAAAATTATTTAAGCAATATTTACCAAATCCAGTCTTCCAGGACGACTTCTTACTTTAATGCTTATGTTTTATTTAACCGCTTACCCCTATATTTAATTAAAATAAACTAAAATTGATGTTTTTGCAAATTGTGGAAAAAAACTCAAATTAACGGCGTCAATTAAATGACAAAAAAATGGCGATTCTGTGACACGGTATGCAAGAAAGACCTCGGTTCGAATCCGACCGGATCGAAGGAATTTTTTTCTGAGTGTTCGATCTTTGTATTAATGATTACAACAAACTAGTGGAGTAATTTCACAAAAATAATTGAATATCAATTCTATAAAAATTTAAAATGCAGTGAATAGCGACATCTCTCGCCAGGACTAGTAGCTGTAAAGGTACTAACTGGGTGATAAATCTTTCATAGATTGCTCATTAGATGGCGCTACGACTAAAAAGTCATTGAAAAACCAAATCCAAAGACACGATGCAAGCACATAGAAAAATTCATTGGGTCCGTTGGTTCATTCCGTGGCTTAGTTGGTATAGCGTCTGGCACGATATGCAAGAAAGACGTCGGTTCGAATCCGACCGGATCGAAGGCTTAGGCTAGTGTAGAAGGCTTGACAATAAAATAAAATGAAAAATTATATCCTGGTGTGGAGCTACACCCAATGCTATAACATTGGGAAGTCTCAGGATTCCCTTGGTGCTACCGCGGAGGAGACGGGCTTGCACGGAGGCGCAACGTCTTCTCATTATAAAACTTTTTTAAATACATGACAGGCAGATGACTCGACCTGATGTTAAATGTAAAGTGGAATCCAAACGTGAAGGTACATACCTAGTGCAGTATTGATACAATCACTGCCATAGCGAGAGATAGGGATTTCCGGAGAGACTACGGGCTCGATGGCGAGACCAGTTGTGTGGTTAGCAGCAGAGACGGACATGTTTGTCTGCTGCAGTGGTGTGTGGCTGGGGCGTCTGTCTCGTGCGTAGCTAGCGCTTAGTAGAGGTCTAGTTGAGGGCCTGAAGCGAGGAGACCCTTGAGCCACGTGAGATGTCCTTTAAGTTGGAAGCTATGTCCGGACATTGTCACAGGACACTGCGACTGGCATCTCCGGCACTTGCCTGGAGAACTAGTAGAAGATAAGCTAGATATCCTCCGATCCTTCCGGCCGCTAAGGTTATTGGGAACTGGAGAGACGTCATTTTTCGACGTCGGGAAGTGAACGTGCCTTAACTTAAACACCCCGTATAAAAGTTTAAAATCAGCGTTTGTCCATTAAAAGTAGTATATTTATAAAGCATTAGAAGACGATGTTAGAAAAAGAAAAAGAAGCTAGGTACATCCACTCAATACGAAACGATTAAAGTATGGGCAGTTTCATATATTATATGTATACACGTTTATGTGAACATCCAGATCAATTTGTTAAGTACTACCACATGCCAATAAATGTTTTTCAAGAATTAATAAGCCTAGTAAAACCTTTTATTACTAAGTCAGATACAAATATGAGACAAGCCATCAGTCCAGAGGAAAGACTAATAATAACAATCAAGCAAGTTGTTGTTGTATACACACCTATACCAAAGTAACCCGTTCTCTCACCCCTACCTCCACTCGCGCCAACCCGTCCTACGATGCGACCGAAAGTCAGTCGTCATTACTAGGGACACGGTATCGAATCAAAATTATCGATTACTGTACTCGTGAGTAGTATCGCATAAAAAGTATAGTACTCATAAAAGTATCGACACAAATCGACGCCTCCTACGTAAAGTATCGTATGTCGGAATTGCCAAGTTTACAGGGAAGCGTTTTAAAGTTCTCCGTTTTATTCGGCAAAGCTCGTTACTCACATAGAGTGATCATCTAATACATCATTTAATCGATATCTAGGATTTTATAATACTCTATGAGAGTAACGAGTTTGCCGAATAAAACTGAGAAATGCTAAAGTCACGTGTTATGCAGCCTTTTAATGTACTGAATTCACTGAAATAAGGCTCCCCTGTAAACTTGATAATTTCGACATACCATAGTTTACGTAGGAGGTGTCGAAATTTGTCTTGTAGATTTTCCCTACTTAAAAGCAGAATAAAACACATGAATTTGTCTTTTTTTTATTGATTTATGATTTTTAATTGAAACAAAGTAAAAACGCAACTCAAACTACGCGACTCACAAAATTAGACGACGTTTTGCATTGACCTACCAATCAAAACGTCTTTCCTCACTCGTTTGTGGTGGAAGCAGCACTTCTATGAAGTTTACCGTTGCGAGTCAAACCGAGTTCGCACGGAGCCCGCTCCACTCGCAGTGGAAGGCGTGCATTACGCCAGGAGACTCATAAATTAAGATAAATTGTGTACTTTATATCCTCCAATCACCATAAATCCTCGGTTTCAGTTTCCTCTATGAAATAATTCTTGAACTTATCGGTTTTAGGTACGAATATATCAATATTTAAATAATAACAGACACAATTTTGACATAGTAACCATGCGTTTCGTACATTACATGAAAACAACAATAAATCCCCAATCTTTGAATGTTTATCACTGTTGTAACTTCGTAATTTTATTACATGGTATTACAGACAAAGTTTTAAAACGATTGGTCGGGGATTATTATTTTGTGTTACATATATCTATCACGATATAAAAAAGAATCACTCGAGTAAAAATTAATGCAACCTGCTCTAATTACTGTTGCTTTATAGATTTTTTACTATTTTTTACACTTTCTCCTTAGAATACGCTTTTCCTTATCTATCGCTCGTTAAATCCAATAAAATTATATTAAAATATTGATTTATTTAATATATTTATTTATTTACTACCCGAATCTATAACTTATCAACATTACAAAAATGCATGAAGGTGTTTAGGTAATTTTCTCTGATAATTTTATCTGATAAATATCCCATATATGTATATCCAATAATTATCCACGGTGATTAATAGTTTGTCTTATTAATTTTTGACTAAAAATGACAAACAGTGTGACAACTAAATAAACACGACGAATAATCTTTGGGAAAACGATTTGGTTCGTGTTCTTTTAGTGACTGTCAGGATGGCTGGTTGCCTGTGGCGTCTGGTACTGAGTGTATGTTCAAAAATTGCTACCTATTTGCTGCCTTTTGTAAATAATTGCTACTTTTGATATATTCTGAGATTTAAAAAAATAATTGACCAGCTATTCGGATATCAGGATGGCTGGTGGTCATGTTGTTCAGCATGAAGGGAGAAGATTTTCTAGGCGTATGTATTACCAATAATGGCTACCAAGTTTCTACTTTCACGAATTAAAGGTATGAGCTACTTATCTACATTAGTTAAAAAAATATAACCGATTGAAAATTTTACGCAGAAGTGCCTGATTAAATTATAAAAGCACAAGTTTTTAGTGCTTTATCGTTAGCGACATCCATACCTATCCATGACAGTTGCAGTGCTATGGAAAGATTTAAAAAGATCTGAGGGGCATTGCCACTGCACCCGTCACCTTGAGACATAAAGTTTACAGTCACATGTGCCTATAATTTCACTAGCATTCCTTCAAAACCGGAAGGCAGCAATGGTAGCATTACTGCTTGGCGACAGAAATAGTTATGGTGGCAGAAATTCCCCGGACAAACTCTTTCTCAAGGAGTTTTGCTGCCACTTCTATTCGGTATTTTCCTAGACTTTTATCTCTGTCCATAGTTTACAATTAACAATTTTGTATGACTTTATAAAGGTGCCTATAGATATCGTATTTTTGTTAATCGACAATTACGATCAAACAAATCGAGCAAATGTGGTAAAACGTTCGACACGTGCGATCAACACAAGGTGCCTACAGGTTTGCTCGATAACACAAATCGATCGACAAAACACGTCGATCGACAAAAACGATCGATAAAATCAAGCAAGGCGGTAAACACTTTAAGATTTCTAAAACGGCCCATTCTCTACCTGTATGGCAGACCGCCGCGCAGGCCGGACTCTGCTCACACACTATCCTGCATAGACGCAACGCCTACACTGATAATCCTGAATAACGCGGCAGACGGCTAGGCGGACTGCAATGCAGGATAATGAATTTAATATTTTGTCCTTC